TCTCTTGTACCTTGAGGTACTGTGACCTGTAGAGTCACTCTTATAGTAGCTGGTCACTGCCAGTGCCAGGCAGTCTAAAGTACAACATCTTTTCCTTCTAAGGGAAGAAATTACTGGAGAGGTTGGAATGAAAGCCCCATCTGTACACCAGATCCTTATCTACTATGGACTGTGCTGTTGAAGTCTGTGGTGCTTTGCTGATTTGTATCCCAAGGGATATGTTGAATAGGAAATAAATCGGGGAAAAAAGAAAAGTCGCTGCCTGTCTTTGCTGAGACAGCTGATTGCTATAAAATGGAACAAAAAGTGTGTGGGTTTTGAGACTGTATGATACACAGAAAATATTTCCTGGAGAAAAAAAGATCACACAGCTGTAGGTTAAAACAAGCTGAAAATAAAATGAAAGGTTGAATGAGAAGAAGTCAGGGTGCAGGGAGGCAATCATGAAAGCCAAGGGACATCTGCAGCTGAACCTGGCTAGGGATATGAAAAATAACAAGGACATTTTTTTCAGGTACACAGGACAAAAAAGGAAGAGAAAGAAACTGTACCATCCCTGATTGGTGAGAAATGGGAGACCTGTCTAAAACTGACGTGACAAAACTGAGATACTCAACACCTTTTTTTTTCAATTCGTAAAATCCAAAGGAAGAGACTGGGAAAAAGAAGTACTGCATACCTGAGAACAAGATCAGGCTTGAGACCAGCTAAGGAACCCGAATGTGCACAAGTCGTACCAATTCCAGGTGCCCTCATCTTCCATCTCCACCTTCCCATGCACCCTTGCACAATAGATTGAGGCTCTGCAAGTAGAACAAAATAATGATAGATGATGGGTCATCTAGCTTGGGGGTGGCACTGCGTTTAAGTCACCCTACTCCCTGCATCAAAACTGCTTCCATCAAGCAAAAAAAGATGGGTGAAACTCCCTTCTGAAGGGAACTGAATGTAAAGGCTCATGAGGAACAAAGTGACAACTACTCCAGGCTCTTGGTGGAAGTAGGTCTGGCTTAAATTAACATGGCTCCCCTTATATATGGGGAGGATAGAATTTTCCAGAACAAGGGGTATTAACATTCCACTAAAGGAGAGTAAAGGAGGGGACAATCTATATTAGGAAAAGTATAGGAGGGATTATAGAATATATAAGGTAAAGAGGGGTGGAACACAACCGAATAAAGTAACTCTGCACTGTGACAGTAACTGACCAATCAGAAATAGGGAATGAAACATGAGGGGAATCACGAGGTAAAATAAGTACGAATATAGGGGATCAACATAGGGAATATATATTAACATTACAAATTTTGAGGTAATGGTAAGAGTCCAATAAATCCACATTACACAAAGCTTTCTTCCACCCTGCTTTCATCTAAATTCTCTTGTAGTTTCTTTCTACAGCATTCATACTTTTCCTTCTCATCGTCCCCAACTCCCACAGACAATGTGTCCTGATCCTTGACATGACTTCAAAATCAAAAAGTTTTTTGCTAGACAGCATTACAAATTCATTAGTTATATGTATTAATGCAGTTCAAAGACCTTTATAATTCACTGTAGAAAAATTATATCCCTCAAAACATTGCTTAGTGATTGAAAACAGGCTTCTTGATAAATTCCAAAACTCTTACTGCAATCAGCTTAAGATACAAATTTGTTCACAAGTAGAAAACATGCTAGGGTATCATATGGTAGGACCACTGCTTTCTGAAGGAGTGCAGCCTGACTTAGCCTCGTTATCAAGCTGTTGTAACAATATTCTTTTACAAGCCTTGGTGTCTATCAGGCCCATGGTGATACATAAAAAAGTTCCATGTAAGTAGAACACTGATTGTTTATGTTGCAGAGTGTTTGGCTTTAAAGAAAGATCCTATTAGTGAGATTATGCGTTTAAATTTTTTGTTTGTTTTTTTTCCCTTTAATTTGATGAATACATTAGAAAAAGGTGTCAAGGGACAACAAAACCCTCATGGAAGCAATTTTGAAGGGCGTTGTGCTTTTTCATCCCCTATACATTAATGGGAAAATCTGAAAGAGAAGTTGTATCCAGATGTAGCTGTACTGTAGATAGCTGATGAGCAAAAACTTGGTGTACTTAGCATGTAAGTGAGAAGATACCTGGGAAGACTGTTATTTGTAATATAGTACAAAGTTATATATATATTTATTAAATTGTGTGGTTTTTTTTCTTTTTAAGATTTAGACTTGAGCATTCTCCCCTTTGGAATCTTGTGTTCAATCATTATCTCTCATGTGCCCAAGTGAGCTTGAGCATTTTCCTTCCCATTTAAGTCTGAGACATCTCAAACGCTTCTGCAGCATGAACAAGCATTGTTCTTACCTAGAAGGACTCCAGATAGATTTGATTGCATAGTTGCTGCTGTATCTCCTTTCACTGTTGAGGACAGAGCCACTGGGTGGTATTTCAACCCATTTCTTAACTTTCAGAGGATGCCAAGAATGCTTGCAGTGTTTTGAAGTAATTAACATGTTTTAAAAAGGGACTGAAGTTAAATTATCTGTATGTCACTATGCTGTCCAGTACAGTGTGTAAGATTCCACTTCTTTTTAGTTTCCTTGACAGCAGACAAAGTAAAGCACTTGTTTAGAAGCCCTTTTACAACTAAACTGAACCTACAACTTTCCAATGCAAAATTTCCAAAACATAATTGCCCATGTAAGAATTCCAATCAGTAAATAAATAGAGGTATATGGTAGTCTTGAGCTGAAACATTGGCCAGGAAATGTTAGCAGCACTCAAGGAAAAAACAGTGATGCTATAGTTGTTTTCTTTTGTGTGGTCCTAAGGAAAGAGAGGATTCTTTTTGTAGATGATGCTATAGAGGCCAAATTCCATTACTATTATTAACTGTATGTTATCTCAAAATATTTTTTCAACATAGGTTTTTCCGTGGGCAAGAAATGGATTTCAGTGTGCTTTGAGGATTTAAAAAAAAAAAAAAAGTAGTGAAGGAGTTTATGCACACAGTTCTTGCTGGATTGGGACATCAGGGACAGGGCTCTGAAGGAGGAGTACCCAACACCTTCAGTACTCCTCTGGAGACTCAAGAGATATTCCTGCATATGCCAAGGTAGTCTAATCTTGTGCAATATTGGCTAATCATGTATGACAAACCCTCATTTTGTAAGTGTTAAAAAAAAAAAAAATCAGAGGACACTAATTTTTGAGAAAATGCAGTACTTGAGGGATGCCAAATCATATTAAAATTAATTTACCTTCAAGGTAAAATTGGAATTTTTGGCTCTTATTTTGATTCAGTAGAAAGCCACATTTTAAAGTTTCTTAGCTCCTTGTAAAACTGTTTTTCAAGCTCTGCTATATTGAGATACAATTTCTGAGGATCATTAATAAATGTTTGCATATACATTAACTTAAATTATATCAACTGCATCTAATTATATCAACTTTATATCTAGTGTCACAGAAAACACTTTCGAAGTTACCTGCATAAGTGTGCAGACACTGAGAAAGTGTCAGCTTTCCACATTTGCTTTCCAGCGTTTATTATGGATTCTTCTCGCAACGTGGCAATATATAAAACATGCTGTTTAATTTTCATTGCTTTTGCAACAGCTGCAGTTGTAAAGATGATTGCCACAAAGCTACTCAGCTCTAATTTGCCTGCATACAATCATTTGCATAATTCTTCCGCACATTCAAATCCAGATACAGTATCATTCAGTCAAACAAATCTCCTTCGTGTCAGTGAATAAGCAAAGAGCCTTTGGATAAACAAAACTTATTCCAAATGATTCACAATACGATATGCACCTAATAGTAATATTAGGATGCTTCAGAAATGTGTACATCTCTGTGCTTTGTTCATATCACAAAGATGTTTCATCTGACACGATGAACAAAATATGGGTGATATTGTAGTGTTGTGAAGATATTCACAGGCAAAAGTCTTCATTCTTCCTAGCTTCATATTTTCCTGCTATCAAAAATGATAGATCCAGAAAAACTGCATGATTTTCAGCACTAGAAATGAGAGAATAATTAGGGTTTTTTAGCAAGTATGTTGGTAGAAGTTTTACTTCTGTCGACTATTGCAAGGTTACATTTTCCTAACTTAAAGCTTTTTGAAAACAGGAACCTTCATCTTGCCACCACCAGTAGCTCATATTCTTAGAGTCCTATCTCAAAGGTACATCTAGTCGATGCTAGCAGATAATTTTCTGGTGATTCTAAAGCTTCTGTAACATCATGTGTTAACTATTGCCCTTCACTTTGAATTCCCCACTTTGTGGTAGTTCAACATGAGGTGACTTAACACTATTTTTATTCTAAAACAAGACTTTTTATAAAAATAATCTCTTCCAGATGAGACTCAGTTTGAGGACTTACTCCTGTGTATGGGATGCTTTCCCACTCAATATTCCTGGAAGTAGGAGAGTCACATCTGCTGGCTTTCTTTTGGCTTTGAGAAGCTGCTTTCATGAATGAAATGTTTGTGTTTAGTTCACTTAATATCCTTTACTAAATGAGTCAGCAAAGCACATGTGGGTAAAGTTTAGCATTTATGCCGCTCACATTTGTCTACTTTCCAGTCAGAGGAAGTGGCAAGGATATGACAAATTACTTGTATCATCCGCCAGGTTTAGCTGGCCCATTTTACAAGACCCATTGAATGGTTTTGGTTTCCTGTTCTAATGCTTTTTTATTGATCACTTTTAGATTCTTTTCTGTAAGTAAACAAACTTGATCCATGGTACTGCCACGATACTGCTTTGGTACTGACATTGTGCTGCATAACTTATGCGAAGCAGGTCTAAAGCCAGACTGAGAACAAAGAGAGAGAAGAACAATAACAAATGCTAATCTTTCATACCAAGGAGCTCTTTTGACCTCCTTTACTCTCTTCTAAGAAATCCCTTCATAGGAGGCAACTCACCTTGCTGTGAAATATGTGTATATATAGGTTATTGTTTACAGTCTCAAATTGTCATATGAGGTCTCTTTCTGCTCTTCTTTTATTAGGGCCAAAGCACAAAGTGTTCAGGAGTTTGAAAGTGAACTCGTTCTGGGTCAGAATGAGTCATTGCTAGGTAAGAACTCATTTAACAAGGTTAAGAGACTCTTCAGCTTCACTGCTCCGTTAACAGCGCTTGGTTTTCAAATTCTTTCCCCCATCTGGGATGAAAGGTGAAATGTAACACTCAGCTTGACTTCATTCTTGAGGAAACTAAACCAGGCGAAAAGTCTAAAGCCATAGTCCTGTGTGCAGTACTGCTCCTATTTTAATGACAACATAGGATAGTCTTGTTGAATTCATACACCTAAAAGCAAATTTTAATCAACTTCAAATGCTTCCACTGAATATAGCAATTTAAATTAGATGGGTGTGATTAATAAACACCTATTTACAGAGTGTGCAAAGTGAAGAAGTGAAAGCTTGTCAGGCTCTTAGAATAGCCACATGTGGCCTTAGGTAGGTTAAGAGCAGTTTGAGGCTGCTAGGATACCAAGGTCCATTTTAAAAAAATTCTTAACGTGTTCTCATTGCAATTTGTGCAGTTTAAACCAGCAGGAAGATAGAAGTAAGAATGATAATGAATGTTTAAGGCTTACAGGATCATAAATTGCTAATTATTAAGCTTTACTGAGAAATGGAAAAATAAACAATAGGCTTATAAAAGGTGCACCAAATACTGAAATGGAAAATTGTTCTGTCTCCCCATTCTTTAAAAGTAAGTCAGCAAGTAAACATTCATCCCGCTTGCTCACAGACAGGCAGACACTGATTCCAACAGTAAATAAACTGACTTTTAGTGTCAGTCAATTTTCCCTTCTAAGACTGAGTGCAGACACTTAAGGGGCTGGTCATGTGCTTGCATGTACCTATGTCTGGATGTGGGGGTGTTTCTGGCCCTGTGGCCACACCCTTTTCAGCTGTGTTCTTTCCCCTGTAAACAAAACCACTCCTCAAAACATCTTGCATCTCATGTTGATCAGGCTGATATCCTAAGTTAGGTAAGTCACTCAGGGTCTTCTTGCTTGAATCAGTGTCTGGCCAAGTGATTTTACCTGGAATCGTTAAGAAATTCTTCTTTTCTCTAGGAAACCTGCAATAAATAAAGCTGCAACTCTCTTTCTGAGACATTGCAGTGCTAGAAAAAAGATAACGTACTTGTAGGGGAAAAACTGTGCCTGTAGAGAGGAGATAACTGGCAAAAATATTCGTGGCTTTACGTAAAGGGGTGACACCTAGAAAATAATTTGCATTCTTTTTACAGCAACATATATCTTTCTTCTGGTACTATGATGTCTCAGTGTGAAAGTTCAGTATGTGGATGTATGAGAGGAGTGGTGGGGTGGGAGGACCAGATGGATTTCTCCTGGTTTTACTGTTTGGTGAAACCAGGAAGTTCCACAGATGGATTCCAGGCTTTAAATTTGCTTTAGTGAGAGAAAAGGGGAAGGTGGAGGAAAGGGATAACTGACTGGGGCATGTGAGCTGAATCTGTCTGTCTGCTGCACTCAGGACTTGGATTTATTTTGAAAAAAACAGAAGGAATGAAATCAGCATGTAAAAGTTGAAGAAATCTAACTGGAGTACTTCAGTAGGTAGGAGAAAATGACATGATCACATTTATTTGCACTGGTAGAGATGGGATTTTAGGTTGTCACAGGAAAGTTTGTATTCCTTCTCTTAGTGTATACAAATGGAAGAGGGAAAATGTCCCCAAATCAGGGTGTTGCAGGAAGATCGTGCATGCAACATGGTCATAAACTGTAGGTGTAAAAGAGATGTTGCTTCAAAATCTTCATGCTTTTGGCAGTGTGTTGAAGAAGCATATTTATATTTGATGGTGCATTTTGTTCTTGCAGCAAAAATCTACAGAATTACTTTTTTAACCTGCCTAAAACATTGAAGCAGCTGAAGCTAAAATTTGGACATTAGGTGATTAAAAAAGAAAAACAAAATATAGTGGAAAGTAATCTTTGTGAAGCAATTAAAGAATTAGGGAGTACTGTTGATCTTATTCTTCCTTTGAGATTTGTATACATATTGCTGGATCTCTGGGAACAAATAAGGAACAATGCTGGCAGTAAAATGAGCTTTAAAATATGTGTCATTTTATACTGTTTTCTTAGGACTTTCAATAAATTTCATACTATTGTCTCCTAAAATACAATTCAAGTGGAAAGATGTCTTCTGTTTTTGAGAGTTGCTGTCTTAGCATCTTGCATAGGTTGTGCTTATATATATTTATATAAACAAACAACTACAGGTATGCATATTTGAGTACCTTATGCTAGAACATTGTATACTCAGTTTTACATTCAAATAAGTTTTAGAATTAAGATATTGCTAGTGCAATATGCAGAATTGGTAATGCTCTGTAGCAGTGCATGTTTCTGAGTGAGTTTGTTCAGGCTTTTGCCCATGATATCTATGAAGTGTACGACATGAATTTTCCATTAAATAACTTCTTTCGTTTTACATCAGCAAATAGTGAAGAATACACATAGAAAGCCTAAAATACCTCTGTTTATGCTGCTTGTTTTTTTATGCAGGTTGTAATTCATGATTGGAATTTCCTATGTGAAGATAAGGCAAGATAAATAAATGGTACAAAGTAGGAATATTAGTCCGCAACCTTTTTAAATTGCAGTGTTTCTGTGAATTTAAAAAAGCTGCCTGATCTCGGTAGGGGCTAATGAAGGATAAAACAAAGGGCAAGTAAGAAATACATTCCCATCTGCACTCTCTGCTTAGGAAGAGGGGGAGAGATTTTGCCAGTGTAGGGTTATATGACCCAATGAGCAGGGAATGTTCTTGAATCGTGGAGGATGGGAGAAGCTAAAGGAGGCAAATAAACTGACAGCTGTTAGAAGGTATGGAAATAGTCGCATAACTGAACAGTCACTGATTATTTTGTATACTATAATAGTAAGATTTAGATTTTGGTATGAAATTTGAATGTTTACATAACTGAGGGACGTCTAGCCCCTTGCTAAAATTCCAGCTGTATTTTGCTTTTCTGACTGTGGGCAGATCATGGAAGATTGGTGATGTTGATACCCTTGAGATTTTCACAAAATGGAGATTTCTAGAGCAAAACACTAATTAGAGGCTTTTGTGAATACTGGCAGCATTTTACTTATCTGCCCTTGAATATGTCCATGTCTAGCTGGGTCTGTAGGTCTATGTACCATTTATTAAAACCACAGAGTTCAAGATGTGAATGCTGCTGTCTCACAATAACTGTGTTATGAAAATAGGTACTGTGTAATACAATAATGGAAGTTAGTAAGCTTTTTTATTTATTTGTCTCTCAGTAAAAAGTTTTAGCTTATTAAGGTCTAAAACAGAGGCTTATGTAATGAGGCATAGTAGTGAAAATAGATAACTGAGGATCAAATCTCTATCAAAGTGATCAAGGAGAGCTCTTAAGAGAGTCATTAGCTCTCAGTAATTTTTACAGAAAAATTAATTAAGTCCAAGACAAAATTGAATCATGAAGAGGCATATAAGATGGTTAGAAAAGGTTTTTATTTGCTGTGTTTTCATGCATGACAAACTGCAGGTTCCCTTATGTTAAAAGTGCTTATTAAAGAAAACTGTGATGTGATGTGCAGAGGCATGAAGGAAGTTTCCTCAATGCACCGACCCCAGCATTTTGTTTTTGTTAAGGAATACTTGGAACCTCTTTTGTTGCATAAGGACATCAGTAAGACCTGGAATCTCTGTGTTACTGCAGTGCTAATAATAGTAAAGATTGCCCATATATGATAAATGTCTTGAAATGTAGGAAAGGTGGCTTTATTCTCCATGCAGGAAAAGGTTCCAAAGAACACTTCAAGAGCTACAATGGAGCTTGCTGTGGTGATACTTGGAAATGAAGTTTTTTCTCTTGCCTGAGGGTAGAATATAGATTCAATTCATTACTTTTTGTTATTTACAAGACCTAGGGTAATATTGCACACACTGTTACCCTAAGAACCTGGAACTGAACCCTATGCTGTAATGTTAGACCAGCCGTAGCCTTTCTACTAAATTGTCTTTGCAGATCCAAGATATTATACTATAAGTTGTTAATAGTGACATTAAGTTTATGTGTGTCCTAGAACTGAAAGTTATTAAAAAATTGTTCCCATTTGTTTAGTGTACTTAAACACAACATGGCTTAATTTTGTACTTTATAGCTGAGATTTTGATTCCCATTTTCCACAGCATTGAGCTTTGTCACTTTTATATGACAAGTGTCTTTATTACTGCCCAACTGGCATATTTAATTTGTAAATGAATGCTTGTTCTTATCTATGTGTATTGTATAAAGATACCATTACCAAATTTTCCTTTTAAATCCATGTGTGGGTGGGGATTTTAAGGCTAAAAGGGAAACTTAAGAGGCATAGTTACCATTAATTTTACACTGTGAATTTTTTGCCTTTAGTTGATATTATGGTAAATATAGCTGTGTGAATCAGAACAAAGCATGTTTGTGAAAGCAAAGCAGTAAACAGTTCATTTTGGTTATATGCTGTACATCAGTGTCAAAGTCTAACAGCTCTGTGTTCAAAGCCTGCATGTTAAAAGCTGAGGGGAAAAACTATGAATTTAAAGTACTACTTTAAATTGCATACAGTTAGAAATCCTAAAATGCACTTACCCAGTTCCTCCACAATTACAGACCTTTTTCTTGAGGAAATTATGCTCTGTATTTCTCACTGTCTTTGATTTTGATTTTTTTTTTTTCCCTAGGAAGGTTCTCAAAATGGATGGCTGGAAACTTCTTCTTCTTCTTCTCCTCTATGTTTCCACCTGCTCTATAGATGCTCAGGAGACTGGTAATACACTAAAGAAATTATTCTTTAAGTTGATAACAAAGTTGGTTTTTTATATTTATGCCCAATATCAGAGAAGTGGGATGAACTAATGAAAATGTATTCTAACTAGGGATAATGTATGATATTTTTATGAAAAAATATTTGTAACTACAGTAGGAGAGTTTTCATAAAAAAAGCAAACTTGATTGCAACAGCTCATTAAAGTTTGTTTTTGTTCATGAATGCTGAGATTTCATATTTTCCAAAGCAACAAAAAACCTTTGTTTTTTTTGTTTTGTAAGAATGCTAAAAGCAAGATAAGTCACCGGAGTCAGCAGTTCCATTTTGGTAGTCAAGTCTTCTGGAAGGTCTTTTTGAGGAAGTGTTCTGTCCAGTTGCAGGACATTTTCTGCATGACTGTTGGTTTGAGGAAATAATGAGAGTTTCATACATGCTGTACTAGTGTCATACGCTTTCGGAAGGTGTGGAAGCACAGGAGGTTAATATTCACTAGAAGGGAATGTGATTAGTACTCTTTGAATTGATGTGAACTTATTTTTTTCCCCTCAGGAAACAAATATTTATTAGTAATGTATGTTTGCACAGTGGAGCTCAAAGTGCATGAGTAAGTTTTCCTTTGCTCACTTGACAGCAGGCAGACACATTCTTATGGTTGTGTTTCACATACAGAACTACTAATGGGAGTTGTTGTCTTTCCAGGTTTATTTTTCTCTATTCGTAGACTAAGTACAGGAAATTGCAATGTGTTGCCAAAATACAGATTTTGACTTGTTGTATCTTCCATATATTGCTAACTAGTTTTCAATAATATCGCGTCATAACTGGTAAAATTTTAGTGCCTGTCTACCATTAAAATATTCAAAATAATGGTGGGAGGGGAGAAGGTGAGATGAGGAAGGAAAAGGCAGAAACAGGCAACACAGTTGCAATTTATTTCATGAATAATAAAATGTACACTCAGTTCTTCCTTGCTCATCAATAAAGCTGGAGAAGGATCTATAGTAATTAATTCTTCTATCTGCCATTCCTTGGGCAGTTAGCAGGAAAACCATGTTGGAGATGTTGTCTCTTTAGTGGATACCACAATAAGTATTGATCAGGAAAACTTTAACAAGGTGAAGAACTCCTCTCCACCTCGGTTTCAAGTTTTTGATGTTGACCTCAGTGCAATCCAAGTTGGACTGGTGCAATTGAGTGATGAGACTTAACAAGAACTCTTGCTGAATCAGTATTTGAAAAGTGATGTTTTGCAGCAGATTGATAATTTACTGTAAAGGCGTGGAGAAACTTCTGTAGGGAAAGCTCTGGGTTTTTTTAATCCAGTGTATTTCACTCAACCTGTGGAAAACAAGGTGTAGTGCTGGTAGTTTTGATGACCTTCCAGATCTCTCCACAAGACCCTGGGGAAGCTTTTGCTTTGGTCCTGGTTTTGCTGTTGTTTACATCACTATTATTGTCATGTAACATGATTGAAAACAATGGGGCTAATTTTGAGTTAGGTTGCAGTTCAGGCTCACATCCCTTTTTTATCACATTTCAATGTCTGCACCGAAGTCAGAGAGGTTTAAATGTCAAAATAGGAACATAAGCTTGTGCTCAGTGCTCTCTGAAGCTGAGCCTTAACATATTGTAAAGAAAATCAGGGTAAAATTCACAGATTCCATGGTGTATATCCGGCTTCATCTCAGAGCTGGTGGAGTCAACTTTAGAAAATGGATATCGTTGAACAGTTGAACAGAGAATTACTTCTTGATTAAACTATGCTTTTGGTAACTTTTAATTCCTCTGGAAACTTAGTTCATAAATTAAACATTCTAGGAGTTACAAAATTGAAGGGAAATCATATTTTCCTGTTCAATACATTTGCTGAACAGCAAAATTTGCAGAACACTTATTTTCCCTGTTTCTTTAAGGACTGTTATTGTTGAATAGTGAAGGGGGGAGGGATATAAAAAGAGGTATGAAATAAAAACTAAAATTAGAACAAAAAAATGGAGTTCAAAGCAATAATGAATTTTTAAAGGGTAATGTAGTTACAGTTTAAAATTTTTACTTTTTTTCCTGGTTTTGCAGAGTTCAGTGTGGGTACCTACACTAGTTTTCCCTCAAAGAAAAGAAAAGGTTAGGGGTTAGGGGTTAGGTGCTGTGCTGGTAGTCAGTCACTTTTTTGCCATGGCTTTTACCCTAAGTTTGCAGCAGTCTAGTGGCAGATCTTCTATTCTTGATGAAAGGATCAAAAACCATATAGAAAAGTAACTTTCCTGTCACAAAGACCTTTGTGATGGAAGTTGTGGACAACTTTGTTGTTGCTAGGGACAAAGTAGTTGTTGGATTTAGTCCAGCACAGTCCAGAGCCCCACAGAGAATTTCCTTTTTGGTGAGTTCTACAATGACACCATAATAAAGGAACAATCAACAGAATAAAGCAATTGCAGTCCTCTGTGCTTTATGGCAAAGGACTGAGGCTTGTCCAGAGCCTTTTTCAGTGTCTACTCTGCTGACAGGGTAGAGGATGCAGCAATGTCTTTGAGGAGCAATGAGATCCATGTCTTTGAAGTTGGCATAGGGATTATAAATTCCCTTTGAGCTGCTTTTAATAGCTGATGATGCAAGGAGAGTGTTCACAGTGGAAAGCCTTGGTGCATTGAGACCCATCAAAAGGAATGTTGTCAATCAGGTCTGTCAATCCAAACATCTGTCTGGCCATGGCGAGTAAAAAAACCATTTTGTTGGCTGTATAATGGCTTTGTGCAGTCCCTGATAAAAGTATCCGAGCTGGATGGGCAGCAATCCAACTGTTTAACCAAAGAATACTTCCCATGTTACTCCATTTGCAACTCACAACTTGCACCTTGCTTCAGTCAAGAGCCACTACGCTCTTTGCTATGTTAAACAGCTTCTGAGGTAAGAGAGTACTTCACATCTAGCTTTCAGATTCATAGCTCCTCAGCGTCTGAGAGGAGCCAGAGCAGACATCCCCAGTGGGTATCTTAAAAGAGGGAAACAGACAATTGAGTGGTATTTAAAGACAAGCCTTCCAGAAACCTAACTTCGTCATCTGCAGCTGACCATACAGCTTCATTGGGACTGTCAGCAGCAAGTGCTGACAAAACTGAAGTCTCACAGAGGCACTATGGAGAGAGGGTGTGAGGAAATCCATCCTTGGATGTGTGGGAGGTATTGGCAAGATGTGAACAGCAAATCCGCAGTAATGCTGAGATGCTACCCAAATGCTTTTCTGAGACAAGAAACAGGAAGTGGTATCTCTTACTACATCTTCTTGATGGCAAGAATGAGAGGCTGCCACACAACCTGAGAGGCTGCCACCCCAAGGAAAATAAAGGTTCAGTATTGCCTTTGAATAAAAGAGCAACTTTTATCAGATGTCAGATGCTGGTTTTGTATCTGAGTTTATTCTGACGTGGTGCTGCAGGATCAGTCGCCTTGTCCTGTGGGAAGACTGAAGTAGAAAACATAGACAGTAGCTCTTTAACATTACATATTCATGCCATTTATGTAGTTAGATAACACTGAAGATGCATTTGTTAAGTAGCAAAAAGACAAATGGAGTGAATGACAAATCAAAAAGCTGATCTGTCCCTCTACTGATTGTGAGGGGGACCCACTGTGGTGTAAGTGCATGGCATTGATTGGACATAGCAGGAAGAGATTTCGGTAGTGGTTTTTCTCTCTGTAATCATACTTACAGGGACTGTGAATGTCCTTTAAAGTTCCTTGTCTTCCCTGTGTTTTCACTGTATAGGTGATATTTTACATGTGTTGGATATGTGCTTTTCATTGTCTTTGTTATGCCATAAAGCTGATCCAACCCAGTTCTCCAGCTTTTATTCCCCCAGCAACCAGAAACTTATTGTGAGAAAGGAATACCAGGATGCTTGTCTAAGGCGAGCTTGTCTCTACTTGTCCAAGGCTTTCTATAAGAATAGCTGAGCCTCTCCTGTACCCTAAGCTAGTAAGATCTTAAACATTCCGAAACTAACTGGTGTTTGCTGGGCTGCTGGGGGGCCAAAATGAAAGGCTGAGCCTTCCCTCCTTAAGACAGAAGTGACTCTGTGTGAATTATGTCACTCAGATGGTTTGCAGAGAGGACAGCCAGGCCTGATTCAGTATGAGCTCTGCACCTCCACCCACCTTCTTCCCATCAAGAGCTGAGCAGATCCCCAGATGAAAAGACCTCCCTCATCTCCTGAAAACAGAGAGAGAGAAAGAGAGAGCAAGCCCTACTGTGGAAGTAGAGAGCACA